AATTCAAAATGTACTCAAGTTTTATTTCTAAAAAATTGGGTAAATCTTTGGATGACGGTGGTTTTGAGGTTATGAAGTTGTCCATCATATGGTAATCTGCTTCATTGATGTCTTACGAGGCTCAAGCATCGTTAACCCTTCATTTCTTTCTAATCATATTGCCCCCACCCACCTGCAGTTGTACGCTCGCGCCAAAACTTTGCAGAAGATCTCGAAAAAAAGTCGTCCTTCTCGCATTCAACAGTCTATCACATTTGAAAGCAGCCGCTTGTGCAACAGCGGTTGCCGACAAAAAAGGTAGACGACGAAGATGAAGGAGCGGTGTGTGCGCGAGCGCGGGGGGCGAAGAGCGGAAAGCGGGACGAAGGCCACACCCTAACACTGACATACATTGTGTCCGCGTCCGCTCTTTTCATGGAGCGACGGAGAGAGAGCGAAGCGTTGTTGGACCGCGCGACTATGAACTGGTCATAAGAGCCACCACTACTCCACCCCATACCGCCATCGCCATCGCCACCACCTCCACCAGCAGCAACACCGAGCGCATCGTTGTCGACCTTGGATTTCTCTCTCTCTCCCGCTCTTCCCCCTATTACCTCTCTTCCAGTCAGTGTCTCAGCCATTGCTGTCGACGCCGCGCCATATTCCCCCCATACTCTCACAGTTCCTCATTTTTCAGCGACATTTTCTTTTGTTTGGAAATGGAGAGATCGGCCTTCTCCTCAAGGTGGCCTCCATTGTGACGAGGCCTCAAAACAAGACCTTGAGCGGATCTTTGCCATAATGCATTTATTTATCTACCCGATGGCGTTTAGGTGGTCTTGCACGAAAACGAGCTGTTGCTAGAGGAAAGCTGCTTGTGAACCCGCCGAGATTAATCGGCAAGTCGGATCTATCCGCTGAATGTTCTAATAAAATTAAAACCAGAGCGAGGTTTTTTTTTTTAAATTTACGCTTTTACCCTTCTGACAGTATTACCAAAAATCTTTGAAGAATGTTTGTCAGCTACTGACAATTACTAATCTGATCTTTCAAACTTTGCATGTTTTTCTCCAGCAGTTCTCCGAGGTTTGTCTTTAATTTGAGAAATTACCACTCTTCCATGGAAAGGCTTGAAATCCATTATCTTAAAAAGGTTTTCTACGCCAAATAGTTCTCTTTCTCCTTCTGCATTTTTCATCCATACCTTAGTTGCATAATCTTGTGTTTTCTTAAAATTCTCACTTGAAGTGTTGATTTTTAAAATTTTGACG